CGAGCATCTTATAGTCATGGTCGACGGATTGACGAAATTCGTAATGCTTCAGGCAGTACCGACTACTTCGGCTGCAGGCGTTATCAAATTTTTGGAGAAGGCATTCATGACTCATGGGAGGCCAACGAGATTGGTTTCTGATAGAGGAACGGCGTATACGGCTAAGTCATTCGAGGAATTTCTCGCGGCAAATGGGGTTAGGCATGTGCTGATTAGCACGCAGCATCCGCAGAGCAACGGTCAGGTAGAGCGGATTAATAAGGAAGTATCGCGATTGTTGCGATCATTATGCGAAGACCCGGATCGACGAGATTGGGCGAAGCATGTACCGCGAGCTCAGATGATGTTAAATTCGGTAGCATCTAGGAGTACGGGAAAATCTCCATTTGAGGTATTACATGGATATATTCCCAGGCTGGATAATCATTCCCAATTGGTCGAAGAGGTTCAGGATAGGGTATGGACTCCTGCAGCAGAGGTTCAGGAGGAGATAGTCGAAAATCTCAAGAAGGCTCAGAATAGATATGCGTATTATTACGATCAGAAACGCAGTCCTCATTTCGTCAGGCTAGCGATAGGAGATATCGTTGCCGTGAGTCGATTACCCGTCCACACCGGTGAACCAACCAAACTTCAGGCTAAGTTTAGAGGACCGATGATAGTAACCGAAATTCTCCCAAGGGATACCTATAGGCTAGTCCAGCTAGGCGACAAAAAGTACACATGTACGGCGCATTGTTCACAGCTCAGATACTACAGGGTGAACAGCGAAGACGAGGAAGATGCGATCCCGTTCGACGATACGTTTGAGGAAGACGAGCCAGAATTCGTCGATTCGCAGCAGGCAAACATCGAGGGAACGGATCAGGATCAAGATATCGAGGAAACTATAGTCCAAGAATTGGAAGGAGTGGAAGATCCGAATATGATCACGGAATCAACTAGGCTCAAGGAAGGCTCAACGATTCGGAGCGAAGAGGCATCATCACCGATAGAAATTTCATCATCGTCATCAGGATCGTCGGCGGAGATTCAAATCAATGTGAATCCAGCCAGGTATTCAGGCTTGTTAGGAAGAGGTAGAAGGCCAATAACAGATTTAAACACGGCGATAATGGAATCTCCAGGTATATCAGAATTATCAGAGGCAGGCTCTAGTCAGGCTAGGCAGCGTCCGAGAAGAATTACTCGATTCCAAGGAAAATATTCTCAGTGATGTCGAGGACGACATATAGGTAGCGAGACCGAGCGGGTTGGTTAAACAGGCACGGTGTTAAGTTCGGCACGTCTCGAGAGGACAATCAGGTCATCAGACGGCTTATCTAGGACAGGTAACCGTTGAAAAACGTTAGAGGCACTTCCGAAATTCAATCTCGGCGCTGGGATCGAAAAATTATAACCAATCCGAGTGAAGATGACAACTGACGGAGGAAGGACTGCAGCGACGGAAGAGTCATTCGCTCACTGTCGATCAGCAGTACAACAAGGAACTCCAGAAGTGCATCCCATCTCTTCCTAGCTCATCATGGATGCTCGACCAGCGTGTAGAAACTGCGGCGATAACCGGCACCCGACGGGATCGGTCAGATGCAGAGCGCGTACAGTGACGTGCACCGCTTGCCATCAGGTGGGCCATTTTGTCAGGCACTGTGTGCACTACCGAGGGCCTCAAAGAGTTCAGGGTTCGGCACCGATGCAGGAAGAAACACCGCAGGAACAGGCACCGTCGTCGGGAACGACTAGTCGGGAAGACGTGGCGGCCGCAATCCACACCCTCATGACAGCGGAGGCGTCAGGCATGGACGTTCAGGTCCAGGTAACTCTGCACGTTCGGACAGAGCCGGAAGACAGTGGGCCGGCTCCACTGATGAGGATGCCGCTGACGGACCCGGAACGTTGGCAGTGTCCGATATGTATGGACGGGGCGACCAACGCAGTGGTCACTACATGCGGCCACCTGATGTGTTGGCCATGCCTCTACCGTTGGACGGTGGTCAACCCCCGGGGCAACTGCTGCCCAGTATGCCGCTCGGTGATCGAGCCGACGGGCTCCGTTCCGATCTACGGAACTGAGGAGGAGGTAGAGTTACCTCCAGGCTTCCCCAGGCGACCGGAGGGTCTGCACATTCCGTTTGAGGAGCCCTGAGCGTGGAAAAAGAAGAAAAAAATAAAAATAAAAAAAATATTTATGTAAGATGTATCGAGCTAGTGTAATCATTGCATAGTTAGGCAGGTCTATCGCCGTGATAGGTAAGGCCATATAGATCTCTAGGCACTCAGGATTTAGGCACCCAGGCACCAGAAATTGTTAGGTTGATCAGGAGATCAAATTGGTAGCAGTGGTCGAGTGTCAGAAGCAGAGATGTCGTATGGGCACGTTAGATCAAGGTGCACGGGAGACGTAGCGAACGTGCACATAGATAGAGTCTTGTTCTGACTGGCGTAGGCGTCGGTCGTGCTAGTGGTGGGCTCCTCGATCGGTCGAGGCCCCAGGCAGTAGGCTGCCAAGAGAATAAACTTGAGAGTGAACTAGAACGACTTTTCCCTTTTCCGAGTATCCCCACAACACCCCCCGGACCGTTATACGACGACACCGAGACCGTCAGCGAAATAGAGGGAGGAGACGAGATCCGCGCGCGCGAAGCAACAGAGTTTTCCGCCAGGCGGCGCGATTTGCATCGGCGCGGAAAATTGAGGCGGGAAACAGTTGTCTCTCTGATGCGGAATTTGGTTATCAACAGAATTCCGCGGCCTCTCATGAAGTTTCCCCGGAATTCGGGGGGGGGGACTCTCACGGACAGAGGTGTCCGTCGCGTCATCAGTTTGCAGGAAACACTCATACCGCACACTCAGCACACCAAAACAATCAGCACCTTAGAGATTGAGTCGGGAACGGGTGATAGTGAATACTATCATTCCTATTATAAAGCGCGACATCGGGGGGACAAAAATGTTTCCCGATACCGGACATAACTTCCCAACTGGATATTTACCCTGCCCTCATTCGTGAAAGGCCGTCGTCTTTAACGGTTTCACTCGAGAAAGGACGATAAAAGCTTTTCGATCATGCTCTACTTGGCCTCGACTCAAGCTGTGAAGCGTCCCGCAAGAGAGCGTCAATTGCGCATTGGCTCACTGACTGCCTCCCGTCACGTTGGAGGGTCAATCAGTCGATAATAGAATCATCATAATAGAATCATAGATAATAATCTTCTACCCCTCCGCCCAGTGATTGTCGAAAAAACCTCTCTATCGACCACGAAGTTCATGTGGTACTATGTGGTACTGTGGTACGCTGTCCTCCTATTGTGGTTCGAAAGGCACGGTACATGACAACTTATCGCCGACCAACTCATCGCCGAAATCTCAACGCCGAATTCTCAACGCCGGATACCTCAACGCCGAGACAACTCGACGCCGAGACAACTCATCGCCGGACAATTGATCGCCGGTCAACTCAACGCCGAAACTTAGCCTGCTCCGGATGTTCTTTGCGCGAATATGATGCGTTCACCTCAAATCAGATGATGCGTTCCTGCTTCGTCATATTTCATTTCTCACATAACCTTATGACAAGTCTTAAAGTGTAGAATCTGCTAGGACGGCCAGGACCTCGGCAGTGTTCATCGACCTCGTCCGTTAAGG